AGCTTGCTGGTTTTTGTTCAAATGGCAACATGCCAACATGTGGAGTTTTTCTGTTTACTTTGAGATCCGTGGTGGAGAATATCCGGTAAGATGGTACTAATGTCCCACCCCAGGAATGCAAAGATAGCGCCTCATTAGGGGCCAGCCTGGGGTAGCATGTCGGATTAGCCTTTTTACCATGTACCCCCATGAGTTGACCCTGTAGCCTATTTTTCAGCAAACTGTATAATTATTATTTTTTTTCCTTTTAACTGATAGTATTAATCGGTTGGAATTCTTATTGTCAGTTAACGATTAAGGATGTGTGTCCCTAATTGAAATAGTGTTTTCTGTCCATAATCAAGTTGTTCTGTCTGAGGAGATTGCGCTAGTGCTTTTTATTTCCCAAACTGACTACTCAAGCACTTTGAAAGGACATGGAGTTTGTGGAGTTTGGAAATATGGCAGGGATAAAAATTAGGGAAGGGTATTGTTGGACATTTATCAGTACCCATATCAGTACTGATACTGCTTATTGATAGTGATACTTCTTACTACCCTTATTCATACTACTCTCTAGTAGGGCTGCACTGTTATGGCAAAAATCATAATCACAATTATTTTAGTCCATATTGAGATCGCAATTATTTAAAGTAACAGTATGTAACTTTTTCAAATATTTCTGCTGTAGAAATCTGCTCCAAAACTTGTCTTAATGTGGAAAGGTGCTGTTGAAGCCTCTCTCAGACTTAATTGAACAGCACTGGCAGCAGTCCAGAGCTTTTAGCTTCTAAAATATTTTGAGTGGTGTTAAATTTTACCCGGCTCTTTTATTGAAAGCGCGAGAAGTGAAGACAGGAGAGGACTGTATAAAATCAACAGGAGGTTTACTCAAAGTCTGGGCACAGTGTTAGGATCACTTCCCCATGGGGAGGTGAGGATGCAAGAAAACAAACCCATAGGACTGACTTCGGTGCAAACAGAATTTAATATTGCTTTATTCAATGCAAGGTCGCTTAGTAACAAGACTTTTATCCTTAATGATTTTATTTCTTCCCATAAACTGGACATGTTTTTTATTACGGAGACCTGGCTGAAACAAGGGGAAAATAGCCCCTTTTCGGAAATTTTAGCGGCGGAGTATTTATTTTTTAGTAATCCACGTCTTACGAGGAGAGGGGGTGGCTTGGCGTCGATTTTCAAGTCGACGCTAAAATGTCGCCTTCTCCCCATAACATATGCCAGTTTTGAGCTTCAACTCTTTGGTCTATCTCGGCATTGTCCGGTATTATGTGCGGTCATTTACTGCCCGCCCAAAATGAAGGATTTTATTAGGGATTTGGGGAATTTTTGGCAACTTTTGTTCCCCAGTTTGATTGTTTCCTGATCTGTGGAGACTTTAATATTCATGTGAACTGCCCCTCTGACCAGCTTGCAAGGGAATCTGATGCTCTACTGGAATCATTTGATTTAATTCAGTCAGTCCACGGCCCCACTCATCAACATGGTGCTACGTTAGACCTTGTTATTTCTCGAGGTCTGACTTTGTCCATCATAAGTGTGGC